TGTTAACACAACAACTTAATTGACTTGAAAACTAAGGACATAATTTTATCCATAGGAGATTAAGTTTTACTAACAAATGAAATAGGCCATAATCTAGATTTTAGATTTTATTTATCTTATAAAGTAGAAAAAATAAAAACAAACAGTTTATAATGATTAAGGTTAAACAATTTTAATTCAAAATATATTCAATATGCAAAAATATATATAGAAAAACAAAAAAATTTATATATATTAAATGCATTCTTAACATAATATATTTTCAAATTTAATTACACAAAAAATATGTATAAATACATTTTTAATATAGATAAGTAAAATAACTCCACTTTGTTACGTCATTTTTTAAAAGGAGGGAGATGTAGTATGCGCATATATCGACAATATACTGTACTAAGAGCTCATCATAAATATAACAGCAACACCATGTTGCATTACATAAACAAAACCAATTCAAGTGAGCGTGAAATATGATCATCCACTTATCAACTACGCTAAGTCAGCATTCCCACGCTGACCGCCAGTAGCATATATATATTCGATCATAAGACTCTCTCGCTCTCTTATACTGATAAGACATATAAATATATGCAGCCGCTGCGCTGCCGGCTACGCCTCAGCCTTAAGCACTTATGTACATACTAAATTTCATAAATACTAAATACTACATTTTATGTGGGAATCAGCAAAGCGGTGCTCAATTACTTTACATATGTGCCCAGAATTGAAAGCGTTGGCTTCATTAGCGCAACCAAGAAAACAGAGTTGGGCTTTAAATTTGTGCCGGTACCTGCTTCTCCGGACGTTCCACTTTGGAAGCTTATTTCCTTGGATTTTTCAGCTGCCATAGCAGGATATTTCATTTATTTATTTATTTATAAATAAACGACAAAACGAGTGTCGTCCTCATTATTCAATAGGTTATACAATAGATAATAGAATTATATGCTAAAAGCCTAGTTAAAATGGTCTAAATAGCATCACCGCATCACAGAAAATTGTAAGTAGGAAAAAAGTGTTCTTAAGTAAAATTAAAAATAATCTTAATTTGCTATATTAATAAAGAAAATAAAATAAATAGGAAAAATTAAAGTAAGAAGATTGTTAATAAAGTAAAGCAATGTAAGTTAGATAAAGAGTGTTTAGTAGATAGGACAAAGAGTAAAGTAATGGGAAATCACCGACCCGGTGGGGGAAAATTTTTCAGCCTGTCCGGCAAACTATGCCCCTGCTCATAGATGGGAATGGTCAGCGACTTCCCGAAGGTATCCTGAAAGCAACGATTTTATTAGGGGTAGAGACAGTTCTGTAGAGAAAACGTGATGCAAACTATTATAATTTTTACATAGCACGCGAAAAGGATTGTGCATAGCGTAGTCTGTTGTGCACGTAGATAGAAATAAGGGGCGATAATTTCTGGTTGGTCTAGCTGGAACAGAGAATTGAAGCCGCCCTAGCAGAAAAGGAGAATCTATGCCGCCAATAATCAACTTATGTAGAAGGACAACACCGAGAATTGTCCTACGGTTGGTTAACGACGGAAGGTTGAGAAGAAGCAGTCTGCTGGAGTAGAATGGCATGTGGAGACCAAATGCAAGAGCAGTATTTAAGGATAGGGCGAACAAGAGAGATGTACAGAAGTTTTGTTATAAAAGGATCGTTAAACTCTTTAGACCATCGTGTAATGAATCCAATTAAACCATTTGCTTTAATAACGATGGTATCTATGTGAAGATTGAAACAGAGGTTAGAATCAAAAATAATGCCTAGATCCTTAACTGTTAATATACGTTGCAAAGGGATATTGTCGATTGTATAACTGACAAGATAAGGTGTAGTACGATTAAATGCCATAAGCATACACTTTGAACAATTTAGATGCAATTGATTGGCCGAAGACCATAGTAGCATAGCGTTCAAATCGTCTTGTAGACGAGAATGATGTAGGGGATTAGTGTATGATAGAAAAATTTTGACATTGTCCGCATACAGAGGGGAGATCATTTATAAAAAGAGTAAGGAGTAAAGGTCCAAGATGACTACCCTGAGGAACACCAGAAGTAAAGTGAACCCGTTTAGAGGTAGTCAGCCTCAGCATTACTCTTTGGGTCCTACCTTTTAAATAATAATTAATCCAAAGCAAAAGAGACGGAGGGAAACCTATTCGGTCAAGCAAAATGTCATGGTGCACAGAGTTAAGCACCTTACTGAAGTCAGTTTAAATGACATCAGTTTGCATTTTTGAAAGGAAAGCATCATTTACCAAGGAAGTAAACCGATTCTTTACGAATCCATGTTGAACAGGGGAAACAACTGATTTATAGAAATGCTGCAAATTCGAATTGATTATTTTTTCAATTATTTTAGGAATAGCGAACAGTTTTGCAATGCCCCTGTAATTTTGTATATCAGACTTCCCACCTTTCTTGTGAAGAGGAATGATATAAGATTCTTTCCAAAGAGATGGAAAGACAGAAGTTTCAAGGGATAGATTAAAAAGCAGTGAATAATGACCAAGAGACGTTCGGCAAATTAAAATCACATAACACCATAATTATGTCATTATCACGCACGTGTGAAGAAACTTCTTTAATACAAGTAATATGTTTCATATAAACTAGAATATCAGAAGGAGGGATGAAAGAGCATGTTATATAGATATTCCGTGTAGAAAAAGACATCTTAACTGAGACAATCTCAGCGTAAGTTGGCGTACTAAAACAGAAAAGTTCTGACTGGAGAGTGGCTTTAACGGCAATTAACACACCACCACCTCGTCGAGTCGGCCGATCATTACTATACAAAACAAAGTTATTCGATAAAATCTCAAAATCAGATATGGTTGAGTTATGTTATTATATCCGATTCAAAGGAAGTGCTAACTATGAAAAGATTTTGAAGCTTTGAAATGAGACCTCTAACATTCTGATAACGAATAAAGATTTGGTCAGAAGATGAAGCTAGTTTTTTGGGGCAGAAATGGTACCCTGTATTGAAGGTACTGAAAGGGTGAAAGGCTGGTTACGCTTTTATACGGCGAACATGGCTAGATCGTCTCGGCTATTGGTGCTGATCAAGAATATATATACTTTATGGGGTCGGAGAAGCTTCCTTCTGCCTGTTACATGCATTTGGCTTTCGCACAAGTACAATATACCCTTGTACCCATTTTTAATGGGTTCAGGGTATAAGAAAACGAAAATTGTGGTGGCTTTAAAAGGGCGGCGAAGCGAGGCAAATTCGCTCCCAAAGCGAATGACAAAGCTTATTGCGCTCTGTCTCCGCCCCAAACCTAACTTACACTAAACTTCATGTTTAAAATTCAATTTATAAGTCAAAGCGCGGATCTGCGGCAACACCGGCTACCATGAAGTGCTTGGGGCCTTCATTCGACGGGTAGCCGAGCCAACTTGTGGATCAGGGCGTGGCGTCAGAGCCTCGCCATCGCTTGGGTCCTCGCTTCGGGCCTGGAATGGAATTCGGCTTCTACCGTCGGCTGCATACCGTCCATAAGAGTAGGTCTTTGCAGACTTCACACCTGCCTCCTACAGACCACCGAAGTGGGGAGTTCTTCCCGACATGAACGCAAACTCGCATCCGCTATTTAATGCGAACTCGCGAATCACGTCGATCTGCTGGTAAATTTCACATAATTTGTGTTAGCAGACGAGGTTTGCATTTAAAGCCACGGATGCATGACCTCACTGTCCGACGAAAGACCTCTTGCGCAGATCTACGCCAACAGTAAGAAAACATTTGTGTATTATATAAATGAAAAATTTGTTTTTTTTTAATCAGTAAATAAACAGACAAGTTAATGATTCTTTAGAACTTTTACATTTTCACAAATAAGTAGTGAGGAGGTAACGGTAGCTATAACAAAATATAAGTGATCTGTAAATACTTTGGTAGAAGCAACATGTTACATTTTGTGTCCTTAGCCGCTTAAAGAATTTAAATATCGGTGCTTTTGAATACTTAGAAATGGGACAAGTTGCGATTATTGGAAGCAAACTCTGACCAAAGCTAGGAAGGTCTGAATCTGGACAATCCCTAGCTGGTAGGTTTCGGAACGCTTTGTGCTAAAATTTATAGATATTACCTTTCCACGCAGTACACGCTCATGGAAAATTGAAATCTAGTCTTGACCATGATTCAAAATAAAGTATCGAATAACCAAGTGCTAAAATAAAAGGTTTTGTCCCATGTTCTTCTCGCTTTGAAAATCTGGAAGCTAGAGTAAACTTTCGTTTATTAAACCATTGGCCCGCATTTGTCACCCAAGAACCTATCAAAAGAATTTTTCAAAGATCCATGAGAATGATCTTTGGAATCGATCGCCGTTTTTCGCCAATTTGCCACAGTTGCGGGTGAAATTTATCAAATCGCTAAAACACGTATTCAATTATATAGATCTTTAAAAATAAGTGAAAAGCAAATCTCAGAAAAGATCTTTAAATCTTTCCACTTTCCATCGAGGTAGCTTTGGTTTTGCGATGTGAAATGTGAAAGAAGTCTTAAATAATTTTTCATGTAGATATCCTTGGAAATGAATATGATGCATTTTCACAAAGGTGAAATACCCCTTAAATGAATTTAAACAAAGATCTTTTGAAAATGAGTTTGGGCCAATCGGATGGTAACCAAAAGATTCATACAAAAGTTGTTCCTTATTTTTCTACAAATGCGGATGGAATATCCCGCTTCAGCTTTTCAGCTTCCGAACTCTTACCGTTTGGGCAAACAATTGACAAACAGTTAAGGGATAAACAGTTTTATATATCGACATCACAGTTTAAAATAAAATGTATACTTTTAGATAGACGGTTTTTACAAAATACTCTTAGCATCTCTGCATTTGTACAACACTGCAAACTAAATGAGAAACAAAATATGTGTGCTATCAGTATAACATTTGAAAGCATTCGATTATATTAAATCTAGTCTTGAATACCTCAAACAACCTTTTTGATATTATCTAGTTACATCGGAATACTTACGTTTTCTAGCATTTTGTTAAACATAACTTGAAGTCCTTCAACTTTATCACAATCATCTTGTGGAACAAATATATGAAATTGAGAGAACAGCGCATATGTGTCTATAATCAACTGCAGGCTTAGGTCCATTCTGCGAATAAACAATAGATGTGATAAATGTATATATATTTGCCAGATAAATATTATTTATTAATTTCAAAAGACAATCCTTTTGCAGAGAATCGAGACTAACCAATAATGTGTGGTCAATAAATATGATGAGTGATAACACAGTTTGCCCAAAACCTACTTTCATTCATTACCCAAAAAACCTACCTCACTAGCACATTTTTAAAACAGAAATGTGTTAAAACAAAAAAGAAGTTCTAGTCGGAAGCTCCCGACTAGGGAATTCCAACACCAAATGCCGCTCGCGCTACGTTCGTAGTAATCGTTCAAAGTAATAAAGCTAAATGAAAACGAGAAAGAAGGGCTGTCTTCGGCACGCCGAAGATCTAATACCCTTGCAGACCCAATCTTTTCATTATGCTCATTGTGCTTTGCCCGTATCTAAGAAGTACCGGGAAAATAGGAAATGCCGAGTTTGGTCAAGATATCTTGAAAAGCAAATTTTCATACAAGAATCACCCAACACCATAATTAGGTCATTATCACGCACGTGGGAAGAAACTTTTTTAATACAAGTAATACGTTTCATGTAAACTAGAATATCAGAAGAAGGAGGTATATAAGAGCATGTTACATAGACATGCCGTGTAGGAAAAGACACCTTAACTGAGACAATCTCAGCGTCAGTAGGCGTACTAAAACAGAAAAGTTCAAACTGGAGAGTGGCTTTAACGGCAATTAACACCCCACCATTTTATCTTATTTTGTCTTATTGGTCTCAGTGGTATATATTATTGGTCAGCGGTACCTCCGAGGATATATGGACTACCAAAAATACACAAGGAAGGAACACCACTGAGACCAATATGTTCTTCCATCGGATCTCCATCTTACGGGCTGTGCAAATATATAATACAAATATTAAAAAATCTGACAATGGACTCTAGGTACAACATCAAGAACGCGGTAGATTTTAAAGACAGAGTCAACAACTCCCAGATTAGAGAAGAGGAAACATTAGTATCTTTTGACGTAGTATCCTTATTTCCCAGCATACCAATAGAATTAGCACTTGACACAATAAGACAAAAATGGACCAAATTAGAAGAGCACACGAATATACCGAAACAACTATTTATGGACATAGTTAGATTTTGCATACAGGAAAACAGATATTTCAAATACGAAGACAAAATATACACACAACTTAAAGGAATGCCAATGGGATCACCGGCTTCCCCAGTAATCGCAGATATATTAATGGAGGAACTGTTGGACAAGATTATAGATAAATTAAAAATAAAACCAAGACTCTTGACCAAATATGTAGATGACCTTTTTGCCATAACGAACAAAATAGACGTGGAAAATATTCTAAAAGAATTGAATTCCTTCCACAAACAGATAAAATTTACAATGGAATTAGAAAAGGACGGGAAATTACCATTTTTAGACTCTATTGTAAGCAGAATGGACAACACACTCAAAATAAAGTGGTATAGGAAACCCATAGCCTCCGGACGAATACTCAACTTCAATTCAAACCACCCAAAGAGTATGATAATCAATACAGCACTAGGCTGTATGAATAGAATGATGAAAATATCGGACACAATATACCACAAAGAAATTGAACATGAAATCAAAAAACTCTTGACCAAAAATGACTTCCCCCCAAATATAATCAAAACATTATTAAAAAGACGACAAATCGAAAGAAAAAAGCCAACAAAACCTGCTAAAATATACAAATCACTAATATATGTACCACGACTATCAGAACGCCTCACAAACTCAGACTGTTATAACAAACAAGATATAAAAGTAGCACACAAACCGACGAATACATTACAAAAATTCTTCAACAAGATAAAGTCGAAAATCCCGATGATCGACAAAAGCAACGTCGTTTACCAAATACCATGTGGCGGGGAAAACAACAACAAGTGCAATAGTGTCTACATAGGTACAACAAAATCGAAGCTAAAAACAAGGATTAGTCAACATAAATCGGACTTCAAACTAAGACATCAAAATAATATACAGAAAACAGCACTTATGACCCATTGTATAAAAAGCAACCACACACCAAATTTTGATGAAACAACAATCTTACAACAAGAACAACACTATAACAAGCGACACACATTGGAAATGCTACACATAATTAACACACCAACCAACAAACGACTAAACTACAAGACAGACACAGAAAATTCCGCTCACTTGTACAGACACCTCTTAAACAGCCAGACAACCTCAGTAACAATCTCCACGTCAAAAAGCTTAGACGTGTAAAATAATGTATGTAAAATGTTCGAAATAATGTTTAATTTATTGTATTATAATTGTTAATTGTTTTTTGTATCTTGGTGTTAGTGCCCTGAAGACGGTTTGCCGATGTACAACCGAAATATATCGGAAGAAAATTAAAATAAAATTGTTTTCATTGTTTGTTTTAACAAACACGGACCTCGAGCCAGCCAACAAATAAATATATGCAAAATACTATTAAGATCGGACCACTATATCATATAGCTGCCATAAGAGCGATCGGTCGAACTCCAGGTTTTTGATTAAAAACCTTTTTTGGTTATCAAAATATCTTGACCAAACTCGGCATTTATTATTTTCCCAGTAGTTCTTAGATACTGGCAAAGCACTATGAGCATTATGATAAGGTTGGGTCTGCAAGGGTATTAGATCTTCGGCGTGCCGAAGATAGCCCTTCTTTCTCGTTTTTATACCCCTTCAGAGGGTATTATAATTTGTCGTGAAATATGTAACGCATAGAAGGAGACATCTCCGACCCCATAGGGTATATATATTATTGGTCAGCATCAACAGCCGAGACGATATGGCCATGTCCGTCTGACCGTTTGTCCGTCTGTCTGTTTCTATACGAACTAGTCCCACAGTTTTAAAGCTATCTTAATGAAACTTTGCAGAAGTCCCTTTTTCTGTTGCACGCAGCACATATTTTAAAACCAGTTGGATCAGACCACTATATCATATAGCTGCCATAGGAACGATCGGTCGAAAGTAAAGTTTTTGTATGAAAAAACATCTTGGTTATCTAGATATCTTGACCAAACTCGGCATTTATTAGTTTTACTATGCTCCTCATATATATGCAATATCCTATCCAAATCGGTCCACTATAACAAATAACTGCCATTGGAACGATCGGTCGAAAATTAATTTGTTGTATGAAAAACATTTTGTTTTAAAGATATCTTGACCAAACTCGGCATTTATTAGGATTACTATAGTCCTTATTTATAAGCAAACTCATATTAAGTTCGGACCACTATATCATATAGCTGCCATAGGAACGATCGGTCGAAAATTAAGTTTTATGAAAAAACATTTTGTTTTTCAAGATATCTTGACCAAGCTCGGCATTTATCAGTTTTACTATACTCCGCATATATAGGCAAAATCGTATTAAGAACGGACCACTATATCTTATAGCTGCCATAGGAACGATCGGTCGAAAATTAAGTTGTTGTGTGAAATACATTTTGTTTTTTCAAGATATCTTGACCAAACTCGGCATTTATTAGTTTTACTGTACTCCTCAAATATATATATGCAAAATCCTATTATGATCGGACCACTATATAAAATAGCTGCCATAGGAACGATCGGTCGAAAATTAAGTTGTATGAAAAACATTTTGTTTTTTAAGATACTTTGACCAAACTCGGCATTTATTAGTTTTACTATACTCCTCATATATATACAAACTCCTTTTAAGATCGGACCACTAAATCCTATAGCTGCCATAGGAACGATCGGTCGAAAATTAAGTTTTTGTATGAAAAACATTTTGTTTATCAAGATATCTTGACCTAGCTCGGCATTTATTAGATACGGGCAAAGCACTATGCGCATTATGAAAAGGTGAGGGTCTGCAAGGGTATTATATCTTCAGCGTGCCGAAGATAGACCATCTTTCTCGTTTTTGTTTTTTTATACCCTTGCAGAGGATATTATAATTTTGTAGTGAAATAACGCATAGAAGGAATCATCAAAAATTATGTTGTATGAAAAAATATTTTGTTTTTCAAGATGTTTTGACCAAACTCGGCATTCATTAGTTTTACTTTACTCATAAATATGCAAAATCCTATTAAGATCGGACCACTATATCGTAGCTTAGATACGGGCAAAGCACTATGCGCATTATGAAAAGGTGAGGGTCTGCAAGGGTATTAGATCTTCGGCGTGTCGAAGATAGCCCTTCTTTCTCGTTTTTATTATAGCCTTGCAGAAGATATTATAATTTTGTAGTGAAATGTGTAACGCATAGAAGGAATCATCAAAAATTAAGTTGTATTAAAATATATTTTGTTTTTCAAAGATGTCTTGACCAAACTAGGCATTTATGAGTTTTACTATACCCCTCATATATATGAAAAATCCTATTAACATAGGACCACTGTATCATATAGCTGCTATAGGAACGATCGGTCGAAAATTAAGTTGTATGAAAAATTATTTTGTTTTTTAAGATACTTTGACCAAACTCGGCATTTATTAGTTTTACTATACTCCTCATATATATACAAACTCCTTTTAAGATCGGACCACTATATCAAATAGCTGCCATAAGAGCGATCGGTGAAAATTAAGTTGTTTTATGAAAAAATATTTTGTTTATCAAGATATCTTGACAAAACTCGGTATTTATTAGTTTTACTACACTCCTCATATGCATGCAAAATCCTATTAAGATCGGACCACTATATTATATAGCTGCCATAGGAACGATCGGTCGATAATTAAGTTTTTGTATGAAAAAACATTTTGTTTTTCATGATATGTTGACCAAACTCGGCATTTATTAGTTTTACTATGCTCCTCATATATATGCAAGATCCTATTAATATTGGACCACTATATCATATAGCTGCCATAGGAACGATCAGTCGAAAATTAAGATTTTGTATGAAAAACATTTTGTTTATCAAGATATCTTGACCAAGCTCGGTTTTTTTTTAATTTTACTATGCTCC